GGGAACATCTACTAATAATCTCAGATAAGTTCAAATCTCAGTGACCTCGAGGTCAAAGTTAGAGGTCAGGTTTTCTAAAAAGGAAGGAAATCACTTATGTTCAAGCTTACTTGCATGTACCAGGAAGCTGAGGGGCAGCACGACGATGGTGACTGAGATCAAGTATGTGTGTGTTTTATTTATGTTATCAGCTGGAAGAAAATTTCCATGAGACTTTTAAATAGGGATGATGTAGTTTTGTCATTATTTGTTTTGTACATTTAAAGTGTTTTTCATAAACACACGTATATGATGTTTGTTTATTTCATCATCTTACTGGGGTGATGGTAATAAAGCTCAACATTAGCTTTGTACAAGCTAAATATTCACAAAGTCTCGGACAAACTACGAGGCTACAATCAGGTTGATCTCATTCCTGTGCTGATCCTTGTTATGTTTGTAAAATGAAGCTCAACAACAAACATCACTTACTTGATGCTGACAAGTTGAAGGCTTCACTCCACTCTGTTGAAGAATATGAGTCATCTCTGCGTCGACTCTTACACGTGTAGTCTCCACTGCTGGACTCAGAAACTCTGAATATCCAGTAATTATTGTGAGTCCACTGTGTGGTCTGGTTGGCTCCTCTCCATCTATACTCCCACTCAGTGGTTTCACCTCCTTCCTGCACCTCACATGTCAGACTGATCGTCTCACCGCTGAATATCTGAGGCCAGCTGGGTCGTCCTTTAACAACAACCTTATTGGAAACTGTTTATTAACAGTTAAGATACAAACAGAAACATCAGCTCAGCAGAGAAAACTTAACACTGTGTGTCTGAATGTGAATTTCAAACTAAATGACTGAACTCACAGGTTATCTCAATGGTGACATCATCACTTTTATCAGTGTAGTAAACTGGGTTTCCTCTTCTTCCTCTGCAGTGGTAGATTCCTCCTTGAGATACTCTGATTACTCCGTTTTGTTGATCATCTGTTCTCATTTGAACTTCAGTGTTTGGGTCACGTCTGAACCACTCATATTTCCAGCCAGCAGAGCTCCCCACAGAGCAGGTCAGAGTCACACTGCCCCCTACTGGTATGATAGTTGATCCTGGAGTCAGTGTGGCCCTGGGTTTACCTGCTGTTAGGGGGAAAAATAAATTGATTGAAGATTGTTTCATTTTTGTGCAGTCTGTGAATAAAGTAAAACTAAATGTAAAATGGTACATTTTAAATAAGAACATTATTAAGAATGTACTCTCTGTTTCATTCATTGGATGAGTTTGAACAGGCATCACAAATTAATGGTAAAAGCATCCCAGCAGTGTTAATACTGGTGTCATCCACTTCCTCCTCTCACAGAACTCTGTAATGCATTTCCATTTATAAACTAGTCCTTTCCCTTTCTGCTTAAAGCCTTCCTGCTCCCAACAAAAACAGATTCATCAGAAGATTCTTGCTAATGTAAGACTCAGACGTCAGACCACACAGGAGAAGATCATCATAGCTGCACAGACAAATCTCTAATAGCACCACTTTAATTATGAGACTTCTAACTCTTCATTTCTGGCCTTCATCACATATTATCAATGATTTATTAACTGCAGCAGTTTGCTTTGATTTGGCATCAGTCAATCTTCTTTCCACACCATCAGAAGAATCAACATTGATTCCTATTAGAAAAACGTATCTTCATAACTTACACACTAATATCAACATTTCACACATCACTGCTTTAATAAAACAAACTCATCCATCATTCCTGAGATAAAATGTATAAAAACATGTAATCCATGAAGAAAATCCCTTCAAACAGTTCGGTCCCCTGTGGAGGAAAAAATGTCTGTCATGGTTTTAAAATGTTGTTTCCACATTAGAGATGTGTTCACATTCACAGCATACAGCAGAAACTATGTTCACATCACTGGGCTCTCTACACCACTTCAGCTGCACAGACGTCACAGAGTCACCATCTCTGTTTCTAGGCTGCTACAATAAACCAGCTCAACAATGAAAACATTAGATTTCTGCTTGTAGCTCCATCAGTCACCATGACAACATCTCCATCTGAAATATTACAACAAACCTTTTCTCCACCTACTCATCTCTGTTTAACTTCCTACAAGCCTCACTGCTCTTTCTATGGCTGAGTAACAAAATCTACACCAGACAGAAAGAAAGACCCAAAGCACCTGGTGACCCCAGATTACATCACTGATGATGCATCCAATCATATTCAAAGATGTATCTTTCACATTAATGTCCCTCCATTGATTCTCCTCCATCTGCTCTGTTGTTCTGATGTGTGTTTGAGGTGAAGCTGATGGGTCTTCAGTCCTAAATATTTCACTACAGCTCTGAAACGAATTGTTCATCATTGGCTTTTATGCTAAATGTAATGATGGTGAATGACACAGAGTAGTTTAAATATTATAGCAGATAACAGACAAGGATAACTTTTATCACTGTTTAATATAAACTGTAGTTTTCTTGTTATTCACTTTGTTTACTTTAAAGTGGTCGAAAACAGTTTTCAGTAACATTTTAGCCTCACTGATAAACTATATCTGAGTTTACTACCTACTAGCTGATACGTACTTGATGCTGACAAGTTGAAGGCTTCACTCCACTCTGTTGAAGAATATGAGTCATCTCTGCGTCGACTCTTACACCTGTAGTCTCCACTGCTGGACTCAGAAACTCTGAATATCCAGTAATTATTGTGAGTCCACTGTGTGGTCTGGTTGGCTCCTCTCCATCTATACTCCCACTCAGTGGTTTCACCTCCTTCCTGCACCTCACATGTCAGACTGATCGTCTCACCGCTGAATATCTGAGGCCAGCTGGGTCGTCCTTTAACAACAACCTTATTGGAAACTGTTTATTAACAGTTAAGATACAAACAGAAACATCAGCTCAGCAGAGAAAACTTAACACTGTGTGTCTGAATGTGAATTTCAAACTAAATGACTGAACTCACAGGTTATCTCAATGGTGACATCATCACTTTTATCAGTGTAGTAAACTGGGTTTCCTCTTCTTCCTCTGCAGTGGTAGATTCCTCCTTGAGATACTCTGATTACTCCGTTTTGTTGATCATCTGTTCTCATTTGAACTTCAGTGTTTGGGTCACGTCTGAACCACTCATATTTCCAGCCAGCAGAGCTCCCCACAGAGCAGGTCAGAGTCACACTGCCCCCTACTGGTATGATAGTTGATCCTGGAGTCAGTGTGGCCCTGGGTTTACCTGCTGTTAGGGGGAAAAGGGGAAATGCATTATCCATTATGAACTCATAAAAAACAGAAAAGGGAAATTTAAAGATTTGGTTTAATGTGGTGAAACTTTCCACCCACATTACTCTTTATCATATTTTTCTATTTATTTTCTCTCTGTGTTCTTTGATTTTCTTCTCGTGTCTTTCTCAACATGTGGATATTGTTTCTGTAACTCTGGTTTAAATCTCTAAATAATCACAGTATAAATGTTTGTCTGACCTGAAAGAGTCACACTAATGTAAACTAACACAGGTCACTGCTGAAGGACACACAATGATGGTTTCACAGCTCTGTGTGGTTTTTGGTTTAAATAACAGAAACATCAGTCACCTTAAACTTTATTAAACTTTTCTCTCCCTCAGTATGAATTCTCATCATGTGCTTCTTTAAGTTTGCGCTCTGATTGAACTTTTTTCCACAGCTGTTACAGCAATATGGTTTCTCACCTGTGTGAATTACTAAGTGACGGTCCAGTGCTGTTTTATCTGCAAATCGTTTCTCACAGTTGAAACAAACATACGGCTTCTCACCTGTGTGACATCTTATATGACGCTCCAGTGCTGCTTTCAAGAGAAAACCTTTCCCACAGGCGCTACAAGAATACCTCTTCTCCCCTGTGTGACGTCTTATGTGAGTTTTCAATCCTGTTTTCTGATTGAATCGTTTCCCACAGATGCTACAAGAATATGGTTTCTCACCCGTGTGTAGTCTCATATGTGTAGGCATGTAGGCTTTAGAGTGCATTTTTTTTCCACAGATGCTACAAGAATACATCTTCTGACCTAGATAACTTGTTAAATGATGATCCAATGCAGATTTCTGATCAAATCTTTTCCCACACGTGCTACAAGAATACATTTTCTCACTTGCGTGAATTTCTAAATGTGCAGCGAGGCAGGATATAAACTCGAAAGTTTTGCCACAAGTTTCACATTTTAGGGACATTTTCCTTTCAGTTTTACGTTGGCTCTCTTTGCCTCCTCTTTTACTGTGACGTCTCTTTCTGTAACGTCTCCTTTTCTTCAGCTCTTCATTTCTAGTTGATCCTGAGTCCACATGCTGGCTTTCTTCATGATCTCGGCTCTCTGGTTCAGGAGAGCTGTGAGAAAGGAGCTGCTCACTGTTTGGTTCTGGCTCACTGTGGGAACTTTCCTCATAAGATTGAGTCACCATGAAGGTATCAGCCTCCTGCTTCAGTCCAAGTTGCTCTTCCTCCTGACTGCTGCAATGTTCCTCCTGTTCCTCCTTAATCTGTGGAGGCTCTGGGTCCTCCTCGTCCAGGCTGGAGTTTCTCTCTTGGGTACAGACTTGCTGGTCTGCAAGAACCTCCTCCTCACAGACATCCTCCTGTAGGAAGTCTGAGAGGAAAAACAAACTTTTGAGGAAATATATTATAAGATAATGCAGGAAGGTATACATACACACAACAGTGATAAAGAAAACAAAAAACAAAGGCACGAGTAAGATTGACACTGTCAAAGAGAGTACAAAAACAATGCTCGGTTTTCCATCTAGCTTCACCTTCCAGACCTCCTGCCTCCATCATCCCTGGATCACCCAGGATGGACTCACTGCTCTCGCTCATGCCATCAGGATATTCACCCGGACCTCTCTGACCACAGTTTTAAATGTTCAACTTTTTTTTAACTGCTGTCCAACATTAATTTGTAAATGATTTACTAGCAATCTTGTCAAAACAAAGTTCTTTACTTGGAGCACAGTTCTACAAGAAAGGCAGTGGGGAGAGGGGACACTTGGGCAGTACATTTATCACGGCATATAATGTCCGTATCAGAGCACTGGCTATGAATTTCAGACGGATCAGGCCTTAACTTAGCAAAAAAGTTATCAATTGTTCTTTTCATCTTTTCTCATTACCCACAGCTACATCCACTTCTGTTAGGCCTAGGCTACTCACTAGGGCTGTGTATCTTCTCTTCCTCAATAACGCACCAGCTGTTCAGTACAAAAGAAAAAAAGTCTCAGCAACTGTGAAAGTCTCCGTGTGGTCAACAACAGACACACCTTATGCCCATATCGTGGTCTAAACCGTGGGACCTCTCTCATTGGCCGTGGTCCAGATATTCCTGTAGCCCTTCACGTCTGTGTTTGAAAGTGAATAAAAGCATATCGATTAACTAAATCCTGAATTGAGTATAAATGTTTTTAGCCAAAAACGGCAGAATCTCAGGTTAAAGCTTGTTAAACCAACAGCTGAATCAGTGAATGAAAGCAGGTGCCCTGATTCTGCACAAAGACGTACACACAGACCCACGTACACATCAGAATCAGTGAGATGTCGGCTTTCTCATTCGACATGACATACATGGGCACGCCGACATTCTGCGTCTCTGTGTTTACGTCTTTGTCTTTGTTTGTTTGTTTGTTTGTTTGTTTGTTTGCTGCAGGTTTCTGACTGAACCAGTAGCAAAAAGCTTCTTACAGAAGACGTTACAGGTCTGTGAGAGCCAGAGATTTTCCTTGTTTGAGGTGACCAAATACTTATTTTCCACCCTGATTTACAAATAAATTCTTTACAAATCCTACCATGTGAATTCATGGATTTTTTTTTCACATTCTGTCTCTCACAGTTGAAGTGTACCTCTGGTGCAAATTACTGACCTCTGTCATCATTTTAGGTGGGGGAACTTGCACAATTGGTGGCTGACTAAATACTTTTTTGCCCCACTGTATGTGTAAGGTCCAGTGATTTATGTAGAATATTTTAAGTTATCTGCTATAAAAAGCCAGGTCAGGAAAATCTTCATGTTTTTCTGTGTTTTATTCTCAATTACTTTGACTCAAAGGCATCTGCTGTGATGCTCACACCTCTGACGAAGTCTCACATGATCAGAAATGAAAGAGAAAATGGATTATAGAAATCAGTGAT